GGGCGACCGTTAAACCCATGGCGTTAAGCACTTCGTGGCCGATTTGTTCGTGTCAACATTGTCATATTAAGAGATATCCTGAAGTGCTGTGGGGTGGATTCCCGGTATCCATCTCTCCCTCCGTGTACCAGTAGATTGCCTCAGCTGGAGAGCCAACTGATATTGAGTGCAAGTGACTGACAAATCTAAAACTTCTGTCTGTGCAAGTCAGACTCGAACCGTCCCCGCAAAACTCATCAGATTTTCACATAGGCTGGATGGACATTGTCACATATAACAAAGCGTAGATAGGACATTTTATACACTGTCATTATGGGTAGAGCCCAAGAAATAGGTGAAATAAGTAGGATCAACGACGAGAATTTCGCGATATGGCGCTTAAGCGTCACATATGGCAATTGTTGGTCACAACCTTTAAAAACTTTAGACTAATCAATTAAGCAACAACGTTTCCATCTCAGCCGATTATCCGTTAATGTCTGTTCGGTGGAGTTTATTAAGGAGGCGTTAATGAGGTTTACTACTGAGTGTCTTCATAAAGTCCACCTGTGCAGGATATACCGTATTTTCTTCATCAATGGATTGTGTTCTCCGTTCTGAATAGAAAGGCAACTTTGTTACGCAAGACCCGTCTCTGAGGAACTTAGGTAGGCCATTTTAAGGAATGCCTTCTTCTCCTATCAATTACTGGCCAGTAACATATTTCGACAGCTGCCTGCTTGTTCAACTAACTATATCCGAATGCTAATCACTTTTACCTCACACAGATAGGGGAGTGCATTCTAGGTGCGTCTCCTTAAAAGAGGATACACAGGCAGTACTAATAGAATACTATCTACTAGCCTCAGTAGAATTAGGACCTCTATCAAAAGCACGCACCTACAGCAGCATCTTTAGTCCGTACAGCTCGAGGGATCGACTTGAGAGTGCGGAACCCAAGGCAAGCACAGCTTTGCTCAGGACCTCAAGCATGAACTTACCTGAAACAGTTAAACCCAGATTCACATTCCTTGTTGAGAACAAGGGGATATGAGCCCTAGCGAAGGCTTAGTCAGCGTCAGCGCCGACAAATGGTGGAATCAGTGCTAGCAACAGTACTACTACACCTTTTGCTGAGATTGAGGGGATATGAACCCTGTACTGACTTTAACCAGCATCACTTCTGCTTTACAATACAGACTGAAATAGTACCAGCGAACATATTACTCAATTGCACCCTAATAGTAATTTTAGAAATAGCAGTAGTCGTTGTTAGCAGAAAGAGCCCTGGCTTCTGAGAATCCGGCTAGGCACCTACTATAGGTAAGCGTAGACAGTGCAGTAGTACCCGCGCAAATTCTACTGTCACTAAATATTAAGTAACGCGGACAACACAAACAAACGCATTCACAGACGGCGCAGTTGGTCCACCACT